TGGTGTCCTGAAAACCACCAGGAAACACAAACCAGCTTCAAATGTATCTTACTGTGAAAAAGAGACTGGAATAAGGCAGGACTGGGTATCACAGCAAGCCCACTGCAGGGTTTACACACACCCATCCCAACCCACTGGGTTCCCATGGTTCACAGCCTGCTTTCCATGGTTCTGGCCAGAAAAAGAGCACCAGGCAATGGAATCATCAAGGCAGCCAGGGCAGTGAGCCCCACTGGTGTCCTGCAAACCACCAGGAAGCACAAACCAGCCCCAGCTGTGTGAAAGAGACACCTTGAACTGGAATAAGGCAGGACTGGGAACCACTCCCCCCACAGCAGGGATTACCCACACCCACCCCAACCCACTGGGGAATTCACACCACAAATACCCTGGATGCACTGAGGAACTAACAGATTCATATTTGGGCAGGAAGAAAAGGAGATCAATGTGCACTGGGCACTGCTGTGGTGCCCTGCTCACCCTCCATGAGCTTCATGAAGATGGTGACCCAGGGACCCTCCTTGACAGCCCCGTACAGGGGCACCACGCTGGGGCTGCTCACGGCCGCGCACGTCGTCAGCTCCTCGGCACGGAAATGTTCCAGCTGCACCTGCAGCAACAGGGAAAGCTGAGCCATCCTCACACAGCTGTCCCTCTCTGGGGGCTGTGGGACAGCAGACATGGGTTAACTGGGCCTGGTGGTCTTTTCCAAACTTAATTCTGTGACCTCGAATAGAAGTGGGAACGCTCGGGATGATGAACCCTCAATGTTTAAGGGAAGTGAAAATTCATCACAAGAGATGGCAGCTTGTAATAACTCCAGATTACAGGTAGGAAGGTAATTTTTGTCTCAGTAAAAAGATAATGTTGATAGCTGAGGGAAAAAACAACCCTGGGGATGGTGCAAAACTTGGCAAAAATTCAACTCCCCCAAAACAGGAGGGAATACAAAATACATCCATCACCTTGTTAGGTGGTGCTCATGCTGCAAATGGTTAAAGAAAAACTTTTCAATAAGTTGAGCCAAACTAAATAAAACTAAAGAATTTGCTGAAGTCCAGAAGGAAAACATGAGTCATGAAGATTCTGGTGGGAAAAAGATGCATCATGTTTCTTCTCTGTCAGCAACCCAGCTATAGCTGGTTTGCTTTCATCTCAAGAATTTGGAGAGCAGGTGCTTCCAGCACCAAGTCTGGTGAATAAGGTGAGGTAGAGGCCTCCTGTCACAGGAACTGCAGACAGTTATTCATGGAAAATTAAATCGAGCATAGAGAAGTGTTAAATTTGCATGTTAGAACTCTCTGCTTTCAGAGTGTGATCTAAGAAGATGCATTTCTGATATAAAGAGCATCATTTATCCATCAGTAATTAGGTGGGGGGGAAATGACATTTTGAAAGACTTCAGCTTCTCCTACTTTCATGTTTCCCTTTTCAGCACAACCATCTTCCTTCCTGAAAACACACCCCACAAGGAACAGCTATTCCTCCCAAGACTGTGGATTTGCCAAATGGATAATGCATTTAAATAGCTACACACTGACAGGAAACAATCTGGTTGTGTCACCACAAGATTTCACACCTGAACTGTGAGGATGCGGAACAGGAATTAATTTTCTGCATGCTTGAGAGATGTTTGTTTCTATAGCTGACAACTGAATGGCTATGAAATGGTTAAATAAATACAAACACTGACTTGTCTTGCCTCTTACATCTTTCCACAGGGAGCACAGCAAGCTGGGCCCAGTGTAAACGGGGGGAAAATGAACATTTTAAACTGGAAAATGAAAGTTATGGTTCTTTTTGCACATAATATTTTTGTACTCAAGGCAAACACTTCCCACACAGTTTTCTAGTGAAGTAATGTGAGAAACATCAGTTCACAGGGGTGATGAAAGTATGCAAGTGTAAGTTCAAATAAAATACTTTCCATTTTCCTCATCTCCTTGCATTATCCCTCTGTCTGCACCCCTGATGCCCTCACAGCAGCCCACAAATCAATGCCCTGCTCCAAGTTATCTTCCACACACTTCCTACATCAAGTGACAATGGCATATCCTGGAGTAGAACAGATTACAGAGCCAGTTTCTGGAAAAACACACATCCTTTGCTGCATCTGGAGCAGCATCACCTCAGAACAATGTGCCAGCACTGCAGCTGACACTCAGGAGATGAAAGCTCTGTTTGCAGATCCTACTCACTGCCTTGGGTTTTTCCTACTTTATTCCTTTTTCAACAGGGAAATAAATACCTGCCATGTAACCACTTACACCAGACATGGTTTGAGATAAGAATAGTCAGATAACAGACAGCCCACGCAGCTGCTGCTCCCCTGCAGTCACTCACAATCATTCAGAAAGCTCTACTCTTGCCTTTCAGCACACTTTAAAGCCAAATGAGCTTTTTTCTGGCTGCTGATCTTGGCCCTTGTGCACATACAGGTCCTCCAGCTGCTTTTCTATCACCTCCCTGAGCTTTTCCTTGGACACAACAGCAGCACCTCACTGTGACTGTACAAGGCCTAAAGAGGGAAGAGATTTCTCTCCATGTGCTTTCTCTCACACAGAATTACCTTTTTGGCAGCACACTGGAATCCTGTCTGTTTGTCCTCTATCTTGTAGACCTCCCCAAAAGAGCCAATGCCCAGGGAACCGTGGCACTTGGTCCAGTGAACTTCTTCTCGGTACTCGTAATCCACCGGCTTCAGCTTCTGGAAATCCAAACAGAAAACAAAATGAAGCAACAAAAGAGACATTTAAATGTTGAGCTGCATGGAGAACAACATTCTGAGAAGCAGCACAAGGACAGATAACACAGCACCTCTCCAGAAATCTCAGTACAAGATTAATTCTGCCACAGGTTTGAGATGAAACCTTACAGGATGAACCCATGTGATTTCTGTGAGGTCTGTTGGATTTAACTGAGTGGACTCCACTGCTGTAAAAGAAAGGCCACCAGGATTTGGATGGTCTGGAGCTATGTGTTTCTCTCTTCTCTGTGTTTCTCCCTTCTACAAAGCTGAATCCTACAACTATCCCAGATTCCCATGACTAAATGCAGCCACTGAAAGCTTTTCTGCAGTCAGTAGATGGAGACTGTGCCTCAGGTGTCAGTGTGAACACGTTCAGGCAGGTAAGGGACACCTTGAGCTCCACAGACCACACTGACAGGGTCATACTGACCCCAGGGAAATCCTCCAGGAGGACTTTAAGGTGTTGAGAGAGAACTGAATTCAGAAGTGAATCATGTCCCTAGGGTTTGAATGCATTTCTGTGCCCAGGCCCTGTGGGACACTGCAAGGGACACTGCAGGAGCTGCTGTCCCAGCAGAGGCACCAACTGCCCTCCTGTACCTCCCCTTCTACTCAGACCTGGTTTCTGTCACACTCCAGCTCCTCCAGAACCAACAAATATTGCAGCCTGGCTGAACAGATGGGGCAGCAAACAGAGGACATGGCTGAACACTGACTAAGCACAGAACCACTGCTCAGAGCCAGCCTGCATGTCTGGTGACTGAGCACAGCACGGAGCCAGCAGTCTGAGGCAGGCAGGGCTTTAATTCCTGCAGAAAACAACCCTGCAACGCTATCTGGCAGCTCCAACCAGATCCAGAACCATTCAGAAATCACAGTTTTAGCAGCAAGCACATGGGTGCAGATTATCCCTCTCCCAAAGCCCAGGAGAAACTCAGCCTCCCACACCCCAGAGTGGCTCAGATCACCTCATTCAGCAGCACTCCTTCATTTTCACTTGCTTCATGGAATTGTTCCTTCAGCTCCAGCCCACCTCCTCTCCATGTCTTGGCCAGGCTGGCTAAATTTTGTGGTTCTCCAAAACTCACGCTCCCCTTCAAGGCATCTACCAAATATTCTTCCACAGAAAGTTTGTCAGCACTGGTTTGCACAGACTGGTTGATGCATTTGGTGAAATTATATTCTAAGTTTAGGCCAGATAAGTGACTGTCTTGATAGTTGAGGTCACCATGGAAGTATTTGTCCAGAGCATTCTGCTTCATGGCACGGAGAGGATTGTCCACGTGTGGGAAATGGGGGGGAAGGATGTTGTAGGGGAAAGGATGGAGAGTCTCAGGCTGAGGAACAGTGTCCCTCTGTTTCCAAACATGATTAAGGCACTGAATAGGGCTGATCAGCTTGTGCAGTTCAGTTTTGTACTGGCTCCTTGGGGAATGCAGTTTGCCCATGGACAAAGGGGCATGGGCAGGCTTCTCAAAAGGCAGTGGATCATAGCCCAAGTCCTTGTTAAATTCAGGAACCCAAAAACTGTTTCTGTAAAGAGTGCTTTGGTGGGATTCATCCTCCTAGAAAACAAAACCAAATAGCTGAGCAGGAACCTCAGTACAGCCACCAGAATTCACCCAAGAGCTGTCAGGAGTTTGCAGGGACAGTACAAAAGGAAGGTGGAAGATTCTCACCTGGACAGGAATTGGGGTGCAGCTCTCCTGTTCTGGAGTTCTTGGACTCCTCCTGCCAGCAGCCACAGGTTGTCCTTTCAGCTTGGATCTTTTCTTGTGCCTTTTCTTCCTGGCCCTGCCCCGGTGCCTCCCTCTCCAGGTGGGAGCCATCCTGCCCTCCGTGGCGTGGGCCACATTGTTGGGGATGTGATCGAGGCTGTCCGAGCGGCTGCTGCAAGGCAGAGCACAGCAGGGCTCTGAGATGGGGCAGCTCAACCCACAGAGGGGAAATCAGCAACTCTGCTAGCTCAACTGAGAGCCAAAACACAATTTCTTCACTTCTAGCAGGGGTAAGCTGAAGGTCCAGGCTAAGCAGCACCTCTGGGATTGTATAAAAGAAATGTCGGGGTGCGGGGGAGGCAAAATATTAAAGTGACCCAAAGTTTATAAATTCTGGAAGAACAAGGCTGGAATGTACAGTCACAGAATGGTTTGGTTTGGGAGGGATCTTAAAACCCACCCAGTGCCACCCTTGCCATGGCAGGGACACTTCCACTGTCCCAGGCTGCTCCAAGCCCTGTCCAGCCTGGCCTTGGGCACTGCCAGGGATCCCCAGCTGCTCTGTGCCAGGGCCTGCCCACCCTCCCAGGGAACAATTCCCAATATCCCACCTAACCCTGCCCTCTGGCAGGGGGAAGCCATTCTCTGTGTCCTGTCACTCCAAGTCCCTCCCCAGCTTTCTTTTATGTCTCTTTTTTGAACATAGCAAAGTAGAGGGGAAAGCACTGCACATCTCCAGGCTGCTCTGAGACAGTCTGTGCTTGGTTTCTAGTGAATCACAGAGATAATGGATAACTGCAGTCTCTTTTAAAATTTATTTAAATTAATAAATGTTTTCATAATATCAATGCCTGCTCTAATTTGAAGGAAAAGAGCTTTGCCCAGAGAAGAGGGATGACTAAGAGCACTCAAATAAAACAGCTTCAAAATGCCAAAATGTGCTGGCTTGCAAAGCCCAAAACTACAACATGATTTCTAAGAATGTGTACAGATACACACAACACTGCAGCTGGGGTCTGCACAAAGATGTGAACTCTCAAGAGGGATATTTGCCTGCAGTTAGGGTCAGAAAGAGATGTCTCCTTTCAACTCAAAGCATTCTGTGATTCTATGACTCAATACCAACCATAGCAGTTGGATTTTTTTAATTAAGCTCTAAGAGAAAACAAGATTTTTGATCTTCAAACGAAGCAATTGATGCAGAACAGTTCTGATACATTTCTCTGCCTTTCCTGATCAGTGATGCAGGGCACAGCCATTTTCTCCATTTTTTCCTATTTTAGTGCTAAAAGATGCCAAAAGTAGAGTTCTGGCTGATGGCATCAGCACAGTGCATTGAGCCTGAATCCACAGCTGGTGTGCATCCCAGAAAACCCCAGATCCCAGAGAAAACCCCTCAGAAATGGGTCATCTTGCACTTCTTCAGATGGTCCACAGGACCACATCCTAAAGCCACTGGGCAGTGTCAAACCTCACACCCCACAAGGTCTGAAGCCACCAGGGGACAGGCAGCACCTAATTGTGTACCCCAGTACCCATTTCAGGCTGCTGGGCTGCCTGACAGGGCTCCAGTGTGTAAGAAAGCCCCAGGATGAGCCCAAACAGGAAAAGATTCTTCAGGAAGAACAAGCAGCTGACTCCAGAAAAGCAATTCCCAGGGCTCCATTTGTCCATCACAAGTGTCTCTGTCCCTTTTACCACTTGCAGCCTCTCTGTGTTCACAACTTCTGTTGTTGATGCTGTCATTAAGCAAAGGCTCTCTCATCCCCTTTTAGCCTTCCAAGAAGTTAAACTGTTCCCTTTTCTGAGGGCTCCTTCTAGCAGCAGCCCAGGTTTCACACAGCTTTTCAGCAGATGGTGGAACAGTTTCAAAAGCATCAACACAGTTCAGTTAAAAAAGACTGAAAATTTCTCCTTGGATTCTTCTACATCAAGAACCTTATGAACATTAAAAAAATCAGTCATTTCAAAACAAATTTGACCATCCAGAAACAGCCAGAAGGCTACATGGACAGTAAACATGCAGGTATTGCCAATAAGGCAAGGTGTTTCAAGTGGTTTGTGCCTAAATTTGTAATTTTTCCTGATAGGAAGATGTTTTGGGAAAGACAAATTCTTACCAGGCCTCAGATGAAGAGTTAATTCCAACAGGAGTGCTTTTGGAAAAATATTTGAAGTGCAGAGAGCCAGGGTGATTTGGAACAAGGAAAGTCAGAAATCAGCAGTGAAGAGGAGAGTTTGTGTTAAGTGAAGAGGGGAGTTTGAGTTAAGAGGTCTCTCACCTGTAACGTTTACTGTGGGCAATAAAGGATCTCTCTGATAAAGTGGGGCTGAACTCCTGACTGTTTTCACCTGTGAGGAAAAAAACCCAGGATTATCACTTGTCTCAAACAAAGTCTCTCCTAGTAACAACTGGGCTCAAACAGCTTTAGGACTGTGCTAAATGAGTGATCCAGACAATCAGTGCACAGTCATGTCACACCACCCACACTGCATTCTTCCTCCCCCACAATTAGGAGCATTCCCAGCTATCTCCTGATCCTCCAGCTCTTTGCCAGATGAGCTTTACTTTGGTTTCCTCCTCTTTATCCCCTCCTTTAAACCCCTTTCAGAAGGCAGCTAAGAGCAGGAGCCCCACAGGACACAGATCTGGTTGGGGTGCACAGCTCTCATGCTGGTCTGTTATTTCTGCTTTATTCAGTGGATGCTGCCACATTATTAGGAGATTTCATGAGCTTCCTAAATAGAGTCTGGGATGTGTCATCAGCTCCACCCCACTTGGGATTACAAATAGATGTGGCCTCAGCTCTCCAGGAGTGCAGAGGGAGTGAAATCTCATCCCTCTCTGCACATTCCTTTTTCTCAATGAAGCACAGCCCGCCCTGCTACTCACATTCTGCTTGGGCAATAATAGAAATTGATGCACAGCCTCCTTCTGTTTCTTCTTTTGCTGTTCCTCTGGTGATTACATCATTCAGGATTTTCCACTGACTGTCAAAGATGGCCTTCTTTGAATCTTCTACTTTGCAAACACTGCTTTGCTTTTCACTCACTGTCTCCTTCAGCCCCTCAGCAGCTGTGAGCTCCTTTTTGTGTTTGACTGCTGGATCAGGAGATCCCTGGCATGCAATTCCCATCACGGCCATTTCCCAGCTTCAGGGAGACACTGAGCAAGAAGAGAAAAACAAAACACTTGTCAAAATCCTTCACAGACAGAAGCAGCTTCAAGTTCATGACAAACAAGAGTCTCCTGAAGGTATCATAATTAATAAATAATTCAAATCAAAGTCCTGCCCATGTTCTGAGCTGGAGAAGAACCCTGGAGTACCAGTCCTTGATTTCTGACTTGGAGCACTGAAGAGCTGAATATTCAACATTCTCAGGACTGAAAGCATGCAACCACACAGGTTTCAGAGAAATTGAATTCTTGGTATATTCCCTTAAATATAAACAGTGAAACCAAGGAGAAGGAGGAACTCCCATATCACTAAACAGGAAGAACGTTCATCCCAGGAAAAGGGAAGATATGAAAGTTCTCCTAGAGTGCACCTGGGGGAATGACACTGTGCTCTCCCACCACATGGATGGCCATAAAGCCAAACAATTCCTTTTTTCCCTGTGCTCAGTCATTCCTCATCCTCCCTCAATGCAGGCAGGCTCAACAGCCAACCTGCCCATCCACAGATCCTCCCTCACATCACCACCAACTGCTGCAATCCTTGCTCAAGCCCACCAGAAGTGGAGCTCTTCCAGAGTGCAGGATCCATGGATGGTGTGGGACAGAGGACACTGATGGTGCTGGAACCATCACACCCCTTTCCTGAGAGCTGGGGAGGGGATCAGCACAGACTGAGCTGACCAGGAACACAAATGGAGCTCCAAACAGGGCCCAGCACAGGGGAAGGTGGAAGAGAGCTGAGAATGCAAAGGGGGAATCATAAACCAACATGGAAGCAAAGCACTGAGGGGCAGCATGGAGATTCCACATTGCTGATTTTCAACCCTGGGTGAGTGAGGAGTTCCCTACAGCACAAATCCCTGGGGAATACAGCCTTGGTGCAGCTCCTGATTCACTCATCTTGGATTCTGGAGAAGTTAACCAGCTGTTTCCTTATAAACCAGGATGTGTTCTGTTGCCTCTTAAGTGCAGAGATCCCTTCCTTGTGCCAGTGTAAAACCTTAAAATGAACATTTCCACCCTTAAACCACCCAGGGAAATTCAGAAACCTTGGGCAATGTACAGGGGGAGTTAAAGAGCCCAGACTCAGGACAGGACAAGGAGGGACATTTTAACAGAGGCCAGAAAATCAGATATCAGCACCACTACAGGAGCACACCTTGGGGCTCATCAGCTTCAATCTGCACAAATCTTTCTCTTCTCCCTTTCCTTTCCTTGAAATTTCCTTCCCTTTCCATTCACTTTCCTTTCCTTGAAATTTCTCACTCCCTTTCCTTTCCTATTCTCTTTCCCTTCCCAAATTTCCTTTCTTTGACTTGAAATTTCCTTTCCTTTCCTTGAAATTTGCTTTCCTTTCCCTTCCCATTCCCTTTCCCTTNGGTCCCTCTGCCCCTCCCTGCCCTGCTCTGCCCCTCCCGGCTCTGTCCCGTCCCTCTGTCCTGGTTCAGGGTCTCCTATGGCCAGCTCGGGTTTCTGTTGCAGCAATCAAACCCACAAGTAGCTCTGAGCACCAGCGCACATGGAGAGAATGCAAATACAGCTGTGCTCCTGTTTATGGAAATAGCACAGGGCGTATCTGTGCTTGGTTTGAAGAGTTAGCACAAATAGCTGCATTAATAATTGCTGCAAAATATTCAGTGTCCTCCTTTTGGGTGCCCCAGTAGTGTCAAGACCTACTTTTGTGATTACAGTTCCAGTTCAGAGAGCACCCCCAGCCTCACAGAAAGCTTTTGTTCCTGCCTGGATTGATGGTGGTGATCCACTCTGGGACCACTGGTCAGGAAAAGCTCTTAGCTGGGAGCTCCTGGTCTGTCACTCCACGTTTGGGGTGTGTGAGCCAAGAGCAGCAAGTTACAATACAAGGACTGGAGCTAGGCAGGGCTTTGGCAGCTTTAGTGTGGATCCAGAGATGGAGACAGCTCATTCCACCTTGGCTCATCTCCAGCATCATCCCACCAATGCCAGGGACATGTCACCATTTTAACAAAGGAGAATTCTGACCACTTTGCCCCACACTGTCTTGTCCTAAACCCTCTCCTTGAAGCTGAGCTCCAGCCCTCATGGGTGCTGCTGAGCTGGGGCACAGGAAGGGTGGGGGCCACCACGCTTTATGTGCTGCCATTCCCAGAGTCTGCTCTTGGGTTGAGGTGTCCCCTCCTTCAGGTTGTGCTGGAGTTTGATGTGTGGCCATGGCACCCTGCAGAACCTGTGAGGAGGAGGGTGACCCTGCCAGGGGACATTGGGTGCCTTGTCCATGAGAAGAGCTCCTCCAGCAGGTGCTGTGGGGGTGATGGCAGAGCAGTGCTCTGTCCCCCAGTGGGGACACGGGGTTGGTGTGGCAGCTGCACAAACCCCCCTGGGAGTGGGCACTGGAGCTCTCAGAGCTGAGGTGGTCCCACTCAGACCCCTCTGCTCTCACTGAGACATTTGGAGCCACCTTGAGCCAGAGTGACAAACAAACGTCTGTCAGCTCTTCCTTTCTTCAGAAATTCATCCTGAAGCAACTGCTTGAAAACTTCACCATTGAAAAGTTTCACTTCCCAAATAGTGCTGTGCTATAAATACCCTGTGCAGTGGGATATGACATTTACTCCCACACAAGACACAGCAGGCTTTGTAACTTGCAAACTCATTAACCCTTGAGTGGACACAAGGTGAGGAGCTGGTGGGACAGACTCGTGTTGCAGCCTGTGAGCTGCTGTGGGCTGCTGGAAAGGAAACAGGAGGGGGATTGCACACAGAGTTCCTGCAGTTCCACTGGAAAAACTCACTTCTTCCAGCTGTTTGCACAGCACAGAGTGAAGATGTTGCTTTAGGAATATTAGTGCTTTATTCCACTCTTATCAACTGATCTCAGAGCACTTTCCTGTCCAAACCAAAGAAGTACTTAAGTTAGTTTGCTTTAATTTCCGATTCTGCAACTGATTTATGATCCTTGACAAATTTTTTAGTTCCTTGGTTTTGTTTCCATGTAAAACAAATGGTAACTGCTTTTCTTTTGTTCTTTACCTGTTGTGCTTAGGTATCATAGAGACATGGAATGGTCTGGGATGGAAGCCCAAAATGAGATGGAAAACCCATCCAGTCCCATCCCTGCCATGGCAGGGACACCTTCCACTGTCCCAGGGTGCTCCAAACCCTGCCCAGCCTGGCCTTGGACACTGCCAGAGATCCAGGGGCTGCCCCAGCTGCTCTGGGCACCCTGTGCCAGGGCCTGCCCACAGGGAACAATTCCTTTCTTACCACAGAACCAGAGAATGGTTTGACTTGGAAAGGACATTAAAGGTCAGATAGATAGATAGATAGACAGACAGATAGATAGAAAGAATAAAGACATATGCTGGCAATTCAGCCATTAGGCTCTGTCTCTGCTGGGTGCACTGACTGAAATATTCATAAATATACTATGGGAATATATGTATAAATATCCTCTCTCTCTGTGTATACATGTGTCTCAATGGGTGAGGTTTGTAATGTTTGTATCTTTCCTATTGAGAAAGAGCTGAAGTCACCTAGATGGGTAGATTTTACAATGAGTGGGTCATTTATCTCATCCCCTTGCATAACCTCACCTCAAGCAAGGTGTGTGTCAGGGCAAGTCAAGAGCAGGATTGTCAGAGCAGCCCAGTGCTGCTGCTGCTCCTCTGTGGGTAATGCAGCCCAGGGTTTTACAAGTGTGTGGTGTTGGCATGTGAGTGTTTATCTGCTGCTTGAAAGACTCTGCAGGGAGGGTTCATGTGAAGCTATGTCCAGGAGGTTTAGGTTGGAGATCAGGAGCAAACTCTTCCTCCAGAGGGTGCTGGGCAGTGCCCAGGCTCCCCAGAAAATGGGCACAGGGTGCCACAAAATGGGCACAAGGCTGCCAGAAAATGGGCACAGGGTGCCCCAAAATGGGCACAGGTTGCCAGAAAATGGGCACAGGTTGCCAGAAAATGGGCACAAGGCTGCCAGAAAATGGGCACAGGGTGCCACAAAATNGAAGGTGCCCACAGCAGTGAGTGAAACTGGATGAACTCCAAGGTCCCTTCCAACCCAAACCATCCCAGAATTATTTGTACAAGCCCTGGGCACCCCTGCCCTCCATCCCCGGCTCTCTGTGCCTGGATGCCCCCCCTGGGCTCCCTGGCCTGCACACGTTTCAGATGGAACTGAAATTCAGCCAGTTCCGGTTTTGGCTGAGGCAGTTTAAGGCCTGGGTGGAGATTTAAACTGCTCAGAGCTGTCAGCAGGACAAGTTTCAGTTTGTGTCAGAAGGGACTTAAAAAAAAACCCAATCGTAGCATTCAGCAGCACCCCCAACCTCTAAATGCTGCTTTAAGTGAACATGTCTAAGGGGGGGGGGGGGAAAGACTTCTCTTGTGTATCTAAGAGCTCCAAAGTGAAAATAAATAGAATGCCTGACTGATTAAAATCCTGGTGAGTCAGAGCAGCAGTTGCTATTCCAGGGAGCTCTGAGCCTTCAATAACCACTGTGACCCCTCCAGCCATTCCAGGGGCTCCTGCACAATCCCCTCTGCTCCCTCTGGGGTGGATCCACAGAGAAACACCAGGGAAAGCTGAAAACCTTTCCCCAGAGCAGCACAAGGTCCTGTCTGAAGCACTGCACTATCAGCCCCATGGAGGAGCACGTCCCATTACACAGTGTGTAAACATGTTCTTTAAAGTGGTTTGATAGTAAATACTCCCAAATCCTCTTTCAGCCACTGCTGTTGCTTACTGTAAACACCAGGATAATGAGCCTCAGTTGGTTGTTTTTAGTTACCAGACATTAAGATATTGCAATAGTTTGGTTACAAAATCTGCAGGGAAATATTTGACTGGGATTCATTATCAGCAGATTTGTAAAAGCACCCAAACACACCTTTATCCTCATTTCCTGGAGGACAGCCCGAGCACAGCTCACCCCTGGACAATTCTTTTCATGCTGCTGAACAAAGATATGAAGAGCAGCACCTGCCCAGAGTTTACAAACACTGCCACAAGCCCAT